TTAGATAACCATAGCTTTCATAGTGTTAAGCATAGTTTACTGTGTGATTTAATTTATGCCATTATCTTGTGATATAAGCTTGAAAAAGTCCTTTTCTCTTAATGAACAGTCTTTTGTTTTCTGACCAACACAGACATGAAACCCAAGCTAACCTAAACTAGTCATCACAGCATTGTGAGAACTTCTACCCTCAACTGTCCTTCCCTTAATGAAAGAAATTGTTCCCTATCAAGAGGAATGCAGGCTCCCTGCAGGATGTTAAAGCAGGTTTCTTCCTCTAACTATATTGTATGAAACTAGGAGGAATATATTAATGAGTTTTCAAAGAAGAGCAAGGTTGCCAAATGTGCCTCAGTCAGTATTTTCTCTCAACTGCAGTTGGGAAGCAGCTGAGGTAGGAGAGAAAGAAGAGGCAGGGAGGGGTCTGGATTCCCTCCTCTACTGGGAAAGCCCTACTCAGAAAACGTGATAAAGCCCTATATTTTGGTGAGTATGGTCTTTCCTGTGCCTTGAATCAGAGAGAGGTCTCGAGGAAAGAATAACATGTAACTATGCAATTTAGATTATTAGTGGTAACGGTAGAGGTATAGAAACATCTAACTAAATTAGACCATGTTATCCCAAAAGGCAGTATTTTACACATTGAGACCCACAGCCTTCTGATGGTGATGGTCTCCAAAGGAGTAGTTGCAGTCCTCAACACAACACATGTACAGTTCAGATCACCCTTCCACTCCCTCCACTCCAAATTTGTTTCTGCTGGCAATTCATTGGCCTTGGCCCAAACAGACACAATGCAGGGGGGAAGGAGAGGAGAGAACAACGGTGGTGCAGCTGTTCTTGTTTGCTGGATGGCAGATTTTTTTAACAAGAAAGTGACTGTACATACCTGGTAGGGCCTGTTCCACCAGCCAGTAAAAAGCCATTGAGCTGTCATGATATCTCTTCACCAAAGAAATAAGATTTGAAATGAGATACCAGAGTGGTAGAGTGCTCCATGCACAGATAGACATCAAGTGAGCTTTTGTCATCAGCTGCCCTTGAGTCAGAAGCTTCTTCATAGTAAATGAGCACCATGCCAAAGTTGTTCAGCCCTGGAGACCAGGGGAGAAATGCTGGAAATTCTTTGCCTACTTTAAACAGTATGAAACAAGACATTGGAATATTAGAAAATGGACTAAAGGAAAAAAGGTTCAGAAACCCTACGGATCACCTATTTTGAAATCAGACAGTTACAGGTAATGGAAGTCAACTTCAGAAGAAGAGCAAGTCTCCAAAGAAATGACACGGGAATCCAATCATCATTTAAAATACACATTTGCTGCCCTTTGAGTAGTGTATGAGAAAAGGGATCCTGAAAAAGAGAAGCCAAAGAGATTTAGAATAAAATAAGCTCACTCTGAGTTAAGGAATGAACTTTCATTATTCAATACAAATTTGAAAAGACAAAGAAACTTATCAGACTAAATTAAATGAGGAGCTCACAGCATTGTAGATGACTCATCGCAATTCAAGAAATTTATAACAGCGTAGAGGAAAACATAGGGAGCAGATGGTGCAAAGAATCCTCAGTACAAAACAGAGATCAGCACTGAGCTCAAGAGCCAGAAACCATCCTTCAGCATAGTACCAACAGCAAGAAAATGCTGCCATTAAAGTGATTAAAAGCCATGCTGTGCTTCTGAGCATTTTTTTTTTCAAATGGTTTCATTGGGTAACCAAATTAGAGCTCTCCTGCAGCTACTGGATTTGAAACAACTAATTAAAAGAACTTCCCATTGATTCATCATAGGAACATTAGACAAGTCTTTATAAATGGGCAAATAGGTTATACCTATTTTAGAATTTTCCAGTTAAAAAGAGATTTAATAATAAATGGATAGGATCTTTAGGGTCTAAGTAACTTCTGCTCTAGTGAGCAACTGTTATAAGAAGCTGAAATTTCTCCATTGAAAATACTGCTTTTAGTAGCACTGCACAACAGCTTAAGAAACAGAAACTGAGCAAGCTGCAGCTTTTAATTACTTGATTTTATTTGTCTATTTCTTTGTACAGTAAATTTCTGACTGCAATCCTTTTCCTAAAAGCCGTCATTTCCTCTGACACGTGAATAGATAACCTCTGTATGACAAATATAGATTCATCTTTCTGAACATATAAGAAATTATTAATGGTGACTCTTGTGCGGCTTTTTGTTAAAAAGTACACTTTTTTTTTCCCCCCGGTACCCTAATGCAAACACAAATATGCTTCTCATATTCACAGCCTTATGTACACACCTTCGCATTTTGATTTAGAGGATGCAGTGCTGGCACATTGCTACAGGTGTGATGTGAGCCTTACTGTATAGGGTTTTCAGTTTCAAGTGCGGGTCAGGCACAGCTGGTTTAGGAGAGTGCTGAAGTACTTTTCTTTCATCAAGTTGCTACTGAGTTGTTTCCCAGGAAGACTTGAGCTATTTCTTGTACTGAACTTGTGAGAGGATCTTCTGTTGTGCTAAGACTGTGTTTGGCATGGGCTTGCTCAAATGGAAGAGCTACAGTGGTGAGCTCGGCTGAAAACACATGTAAATTGATGTAAAAATTTGGAAATCAGAACCCAAAGAACAATGCATCACATGTGGTACACATGAAAAGCCTATAAAGGTTAGGTCATAATTTGAAGAAGTGCAATAGCAGTAATCTATATTTTAAAGGCCTAGAAGGTCCAAGAATATAATTATATCCACAGTTTAACCTGGTGTTTTCTGTAATCAAGCTCGATCATTTTGCAAGGATTTGGTTGCCTGAGCAGTGAACCCCCAAATGCGGTGAGAAGAAGCCATGATGAGCTGGGGAAGGTGGCCCAGCTGATGTCCCTTACCTGTGAGCAGGTGCACAGGGTGTATCAGGTTGCTATTGCTTCCTCAAAACCTCCTGCAGATCACATCTCAGTAACAGTGAGTGATTCAAACCAGCAAATAGTAAACAAATGTATATGAGCAATTGGCCTCATAGGCCCTTGATCAGTGTTTAGCAAATACAAATCCATGTTTGCTAGCTCCTGTTTTCCTCTAAACAGACCTATATTTGTTCCCTGCTTGGAATAGCTGATTTTACCCCAGAGGAATATTACAAGAGCTCAGCTTCACCCTCAATTTCAAGAGTAAAATTTTTATTTTAACTGAGGGAGTAGTTATATGTACTCAAGCATGACGTTTTGGCCCAGAACCTATGAATGTTTTTTATTTATTTATTTGTATTTTGTTCTAGTCCGTTACTTACATTATGCTGTTTAAGGACTTCCTGAAAAATAGGTTAATCCTTTATTCAGCATGGCAGGAATTCTTTTTTTCTCTCATTCGCTTGCATCAGAGCTGTGGTTAAAATGGCAGAAGTACAGGTGTAGGGCAGTTTCCTGTGTAAGCTCTGTTTTCTCTACTTAATACTTTTGGTAGTTTTTTTTTCATTTGGTGTTACATGTTGGGTTGGGTTTTTTTTTACTTCAGAGAAGACTGGACTATTATACCACAGAATAGTTATCCACAGGGAGGATTGACAGTGAATGGAAGTTTATTTTCTCTCTTGGATAAATGCACTGTCACAGAGAAGGAGATTGTTATGTGCATGTCTGTGTGTAGACTTTCCCTTTTTTCAAAGGAAAGCAACCGGTTTTGTTTTCTTTACTGTTTGTTTGCATTCTAAAATTTATTTATTGTCTTCATTTCTTAAACTTCCTGAAATATTTACAGGAAAGAAAACTAAGGCGTGAAATTTTGTGACTAGAAGCAGATTCTTGTTTCATTTTCCTAGGGAGACTCTTTCGTTCAAAAGATAGAAACAGAAGTCATTAAAATATGTTATTTTTAGGAGACAGCTCCTTGGAAGCTTAGAAGAGATTAAGATTCATAATAGAGAATGCGGGAGAGTGTGTAATAAACTGATATTTGTTAGTGGAAAGACAAACAGTGAAAACAGTCAGCCACTGGAAGACTTTTTTATGGTAGCTGGTTTGTTCAGCTTACTCAGTTGTCTTCAAGATGTGACTGGTTTTGTTGTAACATTTGGGAAAGCTGTGTATCAATACTATTAAAACAGCATTAGTGTCTGCAGAATGATAGACCTCCTTTGACATGCTTGACCAGATTAATAAAGTAAGCAAAGATCGTTTTCTAGAATGCAATTTTTGCACGCTTTGAAATTATTGCATAGATGACAGTGTGCCTTCTTTTCCAAAAGGGCAGAAAATATGTTTCTTAAAATTAGTTAGCCCCACAGTGAGATAATTTGGCTCTTGGGTGCATCCATCCACGTTGGGCCTCTTCCAGAAGCTGCCGGAATTGGTTCCTACTCTCTGCGCTGCTGCAGACCTGCAGTGTCAATTACAGCAGGTAGAATTGGGGGCAATATGGAGTTATAGAATATATAGAATATGGGTTTGCCCATAACCCGATTCCTGCCACTGGCCGCCTCTAACGAGCCGGCTCTTCTGTGCCCACAGCTACCTCGCTGACGGGCTGGAGTGCCTTTGCTGTTGCCAGCCCAGCTAGCAGAAGCAGGATTCACTGCGTCTGTTTTAAGCTGTGTCACTTTATTTTACCCCAAAGAGTAAACCAAATGTACATTTTTCACGGTTGAATTCTGACACTTAATGCAGATTATCCTGAATGTAGAATTTACTGTCTCTGAAACATGGTTCTACTCTGGACACGATGTCCTTGGAGCCAGCAGCACAACCCGGTTGCACGCAGCCAGCGGTGGGGACCGGCACAGGTGCTTCTTTCTATGTTTTCATATATAGCCATTTTTCAGAAGCTGGTCTGCACTTTAACAAAGGAATTACTGGTATGTACTTGAGACATTAATTCCAGGTTATATGATTTCCCTGAGAATTGCCATCTGTCATGCTTTTCTGCCTGGAGGTCACTCAAAGTTACCTCGGGTTGGTATCCTAAGACAGTAGGTTGAAAGGGTAAACCGTGTGCTTCGTCTTTAACCCTTAGTTATCCTTTTCCCTTTCAGCACCCTCCTTGATAGGTATGGTAAGGAAGGACTGGGCTTCCCAAAACAGCATTGCCCTCTCCTGGCAAGAGCCGGACTTTCCCCATGGAGCCATTCTGGACTACGAGATCAAGTACTATGAGAAAGTAGGTCTCACTTACAGCATCACCCAAATTCAGATCCTAAAGAGCAATATGTTTTGTACATTTAACATTCAAACAAAATACTTTAAACTTTTCACTTGATGCCGTATACAATGCTATATAAGTGGACGTTTTATTTTGTACTGACTTTTTGTTGTTTTATTTCTGACTTGTTAATGACTGTCTTGTTTCACATCAAAATCAAGTAAAGCAGCAGGCAGGCAGTAGATATACCTGTCCCACAGTAACTACATTTGTTAACATGGATAAATGGATCATATGCTTGAGCATATTTTAATTTATGGACTGTAAAAACTTCACATTAGACTGACACTGAAACAATACAATTAAGGTGAATATCAATGTGATTTAATTTTGCAACATTCTGTCAAAATTATGTGATTTCACATAAAGTGGGCAACAACACACACTACAAGTAAACGTACAAGGTGCATACACAGCTCATCTTGTGAAAGCACAATTTGAAGACTGCTTCTGCCAAAGCATAAAATGTGTTTTGTCATTTCCAGTTGGCTACAGGGCCTTACACTTGCAGGGTAAAATTTAGTGCTAATCAGTGCCTTCATTCCTAGAGACACAGGCAGGATTTTTTTGATGTCTGTATCTTAAACGGTCACCTGCTAAGTCAATTTTTGCTATTTCTCTGTCCCCATCTGAAAGTCACAATGGAACTAATGGATATGTGAGAAGACCACAAAGAACAGAAATACAAGCCAATTCACGAAAGAAAGATTTAGGGATGTTAGGCTCTGTAAATATCTGAGAATTTTCTTCTGTGGCTGCACTTCCCTATTGAGATTACGCAGCTTTAATGATACAGAAAAAAGGGTAAAATGGGAAAAGATCCAAACAGTTTAAATAGCACAGCTAAAGAGGGAAGACAGATTGCTTAGAATATTTGGTAGCCAAAGCAAGAAGACCTTACTTTCCTACTCTAATGGAAGTCATCCAGGTTTTGATCCATTGCCATAGTAAGCCACATTATGACTTTCAAATATTCGAAACCATTCACATGGATGTTAAATTATAAAGCTTATATTTATAAAAAACTTTTATCAATAGATTATCTGCCAGTATCTGTCAATACTGAGTGACATGGCAAATAGCTCTCCTTAGAGGTCTACGTATTGCTTAGACTTGCCGTTGCACAGCAAGACTAGATACACAGACTTCACAGCCCTTTGTTATATAGAAAGTTTAAACCACTCCTATCCATTTTTACCAAAAAGAACCATTGTCTGTTTTCACCTTTTATAATGCATAAGGACTATCTTTTAACTATAGACTTCACTTCCCCTTTAGGTGTGAGGAGATAAATGAACTATTGGCATCTTCTAGTACTGTTGCACAGGGGTTATTTTCTCCCTAAGTGACTTAACTAAATGTGTAGCTCCTGAATACACCTTTTGTTAGTAAGTTAGAACAGGCATGCTCTCTGGCAATGCAATGTAATAGGCAGAATGAAGGCAAACAAGCCAGCAAGAGCAGTAAGAAGATCACTTATTTGTCCAGAGGAATAGGTATGTGACAGATTTCGAAGAACTGTCTTGGAGACCAGATTTTAGAGCAGAGATATGAATAATCTAGTACTGGAAATCAGTCTGCTCATTTCAGTATTAAATTAGAAAATTATTTTTATATCGTGCTAAAGAAATGTACATTTTAACTTTAATACTCCCTTAGTATAGCAGCCAAATGCAAATGGGATATGCATATTGGAAAAAAAAAAAAAAGAGGGTGTCAGGGGTAAATATAGCAAGTGAAACTGTCATCTTTCAGGCTTCCCAGTAGCCTTCAAAGAGGGAAATATCGGCATTTATACTCTCAGCAGAAGTGACAAAATGATGTTGCATACCCACAAGAAACGTGTTAAAAGTGAAATAATTGTATACTGCATTTAGTATTAATTTACCACAAAGACATCCCTCTACTGGAGAGTAAAAAATTCAGGTGAAGTTCAAGAACAAGTATGAAAACCTCAGAAATTTTATTAGTCTCTTAAGTAGTCAATAAAAATGCAGAGAATGGTGTTCTTAGGTACTAATAAACACACTAATTAATAAAATAGAACAGCTTTGCAGTCCTATCCTTATCCCTTTTAACCTGTCATTTGTGTTTAAAAGAGAAAAGAGGCTTTGTGCTTGTATGCAATACAGGAAATTGAATGTCTCCATCAAATACAAACACTAAATACCCCATTTTCAATAGATTGTATGAGTTTCTTAACTTTGTGAAACTCTGAAGAACTCTGCAGGATTTTAAAATTTCACAAGTATGAACTGCTGTTTCTTATAAGATACCTTGTTGATATTTGCAAAATTATCAAGATAGCATTGGGGAGCATGCTTGCTTTTAATTATAGCCAGTAGTAATTCCGCAGTTCCTAAATGGAAGTCATTCATGTGCTCCCAAGATTTCATGAAAGATACATAAACTTAGAGAAATCAAGTAGCTGTCTAATAAACTACTGTTAGCATCCCACAAGATGTGGCGGTTTCCAACAATTTTATAAGTAAGACAAATTAGTGACGGTGAACCCAGAACATGGAGACGCATTTTCTATGCATATCCAGAGCAAGCAGAACAAGGGAAGGTGGCTATACTGTGCTAAATATGCAAGAAACTTATATTTGCACTCTTGTGCAATACAAATTGCACACAGAGACCTATTGAAAGATCAAGCCCTCTCTGTGAAAAATATTCACATCTTCGGAGAAACACTCTACCAAATAATAAAGAAATAAATAGAGAAGGAAAGTTACACAAGGCTGTCAATAATCTACAAGTATGGAACACATACATGAATTTAAAAATATACTAAAGCAGCTCCATAATTTGTCTTCTTTAAAGCACTTTTCATATGACCTTCATTTCTTCAGTGAATTGCTGCAAAATACTCAGAATCATAACTTAACAAAATATTGTTTGGCTTTCTATCAGCCTCTAAAAATAAAAACTGAGAAAATAACAACTTTTTTTTTGTGAGCCAATTCTATATGGATTGTAGAGATTTTTTGTTTCTTGTTTAGGAATACACTGGTACATATTTATGTGGTCGACTGACAAGAGGTCACTTTGTTCTGCAGCTTTTCAGCCAAAAATGCGGTGAACATAAGCTGACCTAGGACATAATTAGAGAGTTGACTTGGCCTGTGAGGAGAACAAAAATTCCTAGACATTCAGTCCAAGATGCTATGAGGTTTTGTCACAGTAAAGAGAAAAAATTTTCCACTGCTTGAATAGTTATGTTATATTACCAGAGAGAGAATATAATGATCCTGAAGAAATACTGTATGTTGAGGCCTGGTAGTTGAAATATCTTATTTCTGCTAGATTATGAATCATCCTGAAAACTATACAGTTCGCAACATTTGTCACCTTAGACGATAAGTGAGTCTTTACAGCAACACACAGAAAATCCATTAAATGTTTGACCTTAGAGATCCAAGATGTATTCTGGAAAGCATTTCTTCATAGAACTTCTTTGCAGTCTTCATAGATACTAAATATTTGCAAATTATCTCTGTTGATACAGGATGTCTGCCCTATTCTGCAATCTGTTATCTATCCATTCTATTTTATAACCCTTTAATATCTTCCACAAACAGCCCAGTACTTTTAAAAGCAAAAAGTCTCTCATAGGCAGTATTGTCTTTCCCTTTAAAAATCAAACTCCAGATATTAATGTAATCTCAGTTTCCTTGCTAATAGTAATCAACTTTTCTTTTATGCTTTAAAACTATTACTCAGACACTGACCAAAGCTTTTACTTTTTGAAAGATTCCAGAGCTTCATAACCCATTTACCTCTCACCAAAAAAGTCACGGGTTCAAGTCAGATGGAGGAGTGGGATAAGATACAGCCTTGTTAAAGCTCTGTAAGGAAGCTGAGTCCTTCTGTAGGAATTCCCTCAAGGGAAAGCAAACGGTACACAGTGGATATAAATTGTACCATTGAAGCTGTGCAGATGAACTGGAAAATGCTTATTTCTCCCCGTTTCCACCCAAAACCTTAAAGTTAGCCATCAAAAATTAATGCTCCCTGAGAGCTGTGTTAAGCATACCAAGCTGTATATGTATCAGCAACTGTATTAAGTTTAAGTTCTCCCACATGGCCCAAATACACAGCTGGGTTATATTTTCTGTTACACACAAGATAATATATAATTAGCTGCGGAAGCCAGTCTATAGAGAAGAGATTTTAATAGGGTGTACCCAAGCAATATCCAAAGGCATTGCAATAACATCTCCAAACACAGAATATCTTTTCGGAGCAGGATAGAGGCGCTTGCTGATGTTTTTTCACTTTCTTGTCTTTTGATGAAATTTACACTAAAGCCAAATCTCTTTGACAAAATATTTCATTTTATTGGCAGACTCATTTTGCAACTCACAGGCAGTTTGCACATAAAAATTTTAACCCAAGTCCAAATGACAGTGAGTGGACAGGATATGTAGGATGTCAGATACGACTTTTCCTCTATTCCAGTATTATTTAGAGTTGAATTAATAAATAAAAGAGAGAAAATAACCAAGCAGTAGAGGCAAGGGGGAAACTAGCTTTCCAATGAGATTTTAAAAAAAGATGAAGATCTGATGAAGCAGAGAGGTAGAGGAAAGTGCCAGATTTAAAGAATTACAAAGCAGTATGACCTTGTTAATTTTTCTGTCTGTCAGTAGCTGCATTTACTTAACTTACACGAGAAACGATGCTCCTTCTTAAAATCTAATATTAAAACAAACATTGCTATTTCTTTGAATATTCATTAATATGAATTAAAGTGAGCTATCCTGAATTTGAGTAGTAAAATACGTAAGAGACCTTAAGTTAAATGACTTGATAGGAATAATGCAATGATTTAAGACTATCAGTGCGTAATGTTTTGAATGACAGAATTATTTTTACAAAAATTAATATGGAAAATTATAAACAAGAAAGTAGTTTTGTCTTTCAGAATTGTTTGCCTACAATAGTTTTCTTTA